GAGAGAAAGTCAAGATGGATGAGCTTGAAGCCCACATGGCGGCCAACGTAGGATCGCACATTCTCGCCCTCCTCAAGGAGAACAAATCCTTGAAAAAGGAGAATGAGTCGTTGAAGATGGACAACGGCGCCTTGAAGCTGCGGGTCGATGAACTCGAGAAGCGGATGATTGGAAGCTCCAAAGGAGACCAACAGTCCGAAGAGTGAAGAGTGAGGCGCACTTATATAGATGCACACATTTTTTATGTGACGAGAGCTGGAAGGCGACCAAAGGGGCCTTGAGATGTTGAAACCTACGGCCTCGGGGTGTCGGGCATCCCGCCCATGTCAGTGAACTGCCACGGATACCGAGCGCCTATCGGGCCTATCAGGCTCGACATGCTCGAAGGAACTGTCAAACTGGTCGTTGTGATGAAGGCATTCGGCACATTTTCCGCAGTTGATGGCTGGTGGGCTGGGCACTGTTGAAGACACGGCCCACTCACATGCTCTGTTTAAGACACGGCCCGCACTCACATGTCACATGTCCTGCAACTTTGGCCCCTGACGTGGATTCTCCAGCGACAAGCAGAACATCTCATTTACCATGATTGGGCAGATGCATGCCACCACATCATGCAGCATAACATACTGTCACAACCATGCCTGCCTTAACTTTTGTATACTTTTTCTTAAGCTACCCCGCTACCTCTGCTAAAAACCACCAGCTGCTCGTCTGGGGCTTTGCAGGCATGATTCGTGGGGCTTGGACGACTGACCCGAACATCAAAATGCATGGAGCGACCTGTAAACCTGCCATGGCTTCAATTGAGACTTTCTAGGCAAACCTTCACTAGCAGCCCTGTGGTTCATTGGATTCAGCATGGTTCAAACCAGTGGCCACGGGACACCAATCCGACCAATCCCAGTTTTGCATTTGCCACGCGCAGATCATCATATCTTCCGATTCCAGTGCTGAAGGCCAGCCACTTGGCTCCTGCGACAGTCGCTTTTGGGCACTTGTCGGTGGAGGTGTGCTGGTTGAACTTGTTTGTCGTTGCTCTGGTTGCACGGTTCTTTCTTCCCTTTCCCTTTAAGTTAAATGATATATGTATATATATATATTATATCGAACGCTATGTGACATCAACTGCAATATATATATATATATATTGAAAGAGGTCGCTAGCCAGCATCTCACGACTCACGACTGCCTAGAACTTGTTGCCGCTGTAGTTACTTTGGCCCGAGCCCTCATCGAAGGATGAGGGCTGCAAGAGAGCTGCGGTCGCAGCGGGAGGTTGGTGAAGTTCTGAGGTTTGCGCAGGTGGGCATCAGAGTCAGGAGAGGTCCTGACTGGGAATGGGATGACCAGGACGGAGGCGGCCCAGGCACTATAGTGGAGGGTGCGGATGAAGACGGTTGGGTACGCGTGAAGTGGGATGTCGGTGGAGAGGACAACTATCGGGTTGGCGCAGGTGGAAGCTACGATTTGATGCTCGAATCATCCACTCCCCCTTCGGTGCAACCTGGAGAAGTTCTGAGGTCCCCGATGGTGGGCGTCCGAGTGAGGAGAGGGCCTGATTGGAGGTGGGACGAGCAAGATGGAGGTGCGGGACACCTCGGAACGACCACCAAGAGGTCGCATGAGGGTTGGGTGACGGTCAGATGGGACCTGGACAGTGGTAACACATACAACTATCGAGTCGGTGGAGATGGCGGGTATGATCTCGTCGTGGCTGAAGCTGGAGATGCTGGAGATGCAGGTGGTGCCAGATCTTCAGCTGCTGGAAGTGCTCGAGCTTCTGGAGAAACAACTCGCGAAGCCAGAGAGGGAGCTGCTTCAGGCCAAGTCTTGAGGTCTGCCGAGGTGGGGGTTCGGGTCAGAGCAGCGCCAGGCTGGGAGTGGGGTGACCAGGGCGGGGGGGGCTTGGGAACCACCGCAGGAGCGACCCTACCAGGGTGGGTGCGAGTTAGTTGGGATGATGGCTCTACAAACTCCTACCAAGTCGGCGCTAACAACATGTATGATTTGATCGTGGCTGAAGCGCATAGAGCTTCTGGAACAGACCAGGCACCCCCAGCTGAAACGACCAATCACGAAAGCGCAGCTGAAGCGTCCACTGCGTCTACTGCATCCACTCCCCCTCCAGCTCAACCCGGAGAAGTCTTGAGGAGCGCGGAGGTCGGCGTCAGAGTGAGGAGAGGGCCCGATTGGGAGTGGGGCGACCAGGATGGGGGAGGCGTAGGCACTACCGAAGAGGATCCGGATCCAGGCTGGGTGAGAGTCCGGTGGGACCACAGCGGGCGCCGGGGGGCTTACCGTGTGGGCCTTCGTGGGCTGCATGACTTGATTGTGGTCGAGCGCCCGGGCGCCAACTCGACATCTAGCTCTGGCCCGATCCAGCGATCCGCTGCAGTACAACCTGGAGAAGTTCTGAGGTCTGCTGTCGTGGGCGTCCGAGTGAGGAGAGGACCTGGTTGGGACTGGGGCGACCAGGATGGAGGTGGCCTTGGAACCACAACAGGTGAAGGAGGCCTTGGTGTGCTGGTCACATGGGATCACGGCGACCGAATGAACAGCTATCACATAGGTCCTGACAGATATGACTTGATTGTAGCGGAAGCACATGGAGCTCGAGGGAGGGAGGGGGCAGCAGCTGCAGCCTCATCCCAAACCACTGCTCCGGCAGAGCCAGAAGGAGGCCATGATGAGCAGTGGCTGGACATGGAGGAAGCCACTGGCATGCAGTGCCCCATATGTTTCTGTGTTCCGCGGGATGCGTTGGCCCACGAGTGTGGGAACCTCTTCTGTGAGATCTGTTGGACCAGATGGATTGCACAGAACAGCAGATGCCCAGTTTGCCGTGAGGATGGGGTCAGCATTGCCAAGGCTTTCCGTGATCAGCGCAAGATCCTGAACCTCATGATCAGATGCCCCCTGGGTTGCGAGGAGACTTTTCGGCTGGGTGACAAGGAGGAGCATGTGTCCCAATGTCCCAAGCGCAAGGAACGATGCAGCTTATGTGGTGAGGAGGTTCTGGCCGAGATGATGTCTGCTCACCACAAGGATTGTTGCATTGTAGACATCCAAACAAGCAGTCATGTTTTATTTCTATTTTTCTTTGGGGGAAGACAGCACCAGTGAAGTGGTTGGGGTATAATTTCTGTAGATTAAGATGTTAATTATTTAACTGAAGGCATTATATAAATCGCATGGTGAGACTCCCTCACATCGGGCAGGACGAGTGCAAAGCGCGCCCAACTCCCTGTGAGCTGTGCGGAGAGCAGGTCAAGGTGGACCAGCTTGAAGCTCACCTGGCGGCCAACGTGGGATCGCACATGCTGGTCCTCTTGAAGGAGAACAAATCTTTAAAAAAGGATAATGAGTCTTTGAGGGTAAGAGTTCATGAGCTTGAGAGGCAACAGCCCGGAGTCACGCTTCGTGCGGCAGCCAGTGCCACCCAAGCAGTTTCCATGTCCACCTCGCCCGAAGGCGGAAGGAACCTCCGAAGGAGTCCCACGTTCTGATATTTGTGTCGAGAGTTTGTAGGAGACCGTATCATGTTTGTTTTGCAATCTATGCCGACTGGCCTTTGAGTTCAACTTGGCGTTTTCAAGTTGACTGCTTCTTACATGTTGGTTGGCTCTCGGCACAGTTTTAGTGAAGCATTTGCTGGTGGGGCACTGTTCAAGACATAGCCCTGCTCACATGTCTGGGGCGATCCCGGACCGAGCTGAAGACCGCAGCTCGCCCTTGAAGAAAGAGCCCTCCGGAAAGTGGCCTCGGTGCTCGGTGGGACGTGGGGACTCGACAGAAGCGGTGGAGTTGGCGGTCCGGGGGCTCTAGGACTTCAAGGATAGGGCTCCTGTCAAGGCAGATCCATTTAAAGAGCCAGATGCAAGCGTTCCGGTGTGCACAACACTTCTTGTTTGGAGCTGGACCTCTTGGCGTTGGTTTTCAAGCCCCGACCTTTCAAAAGGCATTTGGGGTTGTGGTTTCTCAAGAGGCCCAATGCCATCCAAATGCCACCTTGGATGGGTTGGGCCTATGCCCAGGCAATTCGAAACATACTGTTCGGTTTGGGTTTAGTTTGGTCAGTTACTGTATATTATTCTGTATATATCTTGTTTCTCCCATCACTTGCGGGCCTCCGACTCCAAGTCCAAGGTCTTCCAATGGTCTTCCCCAGTGGCGCTGTGGGTCATTCTGGATGGATCCTGCGGGGTGGGGGGCCCTGAAAGCCAGTGCCGCGTGCTTCCTCTTTGTTTTATTCAGTTTTTGGGGTGTGATGTTTATTTAGAGTACGGTGTTCAACCTTTAACTTGGCATCATGTTAAAATTTTGGCATTGTTCGAAGGACCATAAGCAGTCTTTTAAAACAAATAAACAAAACACACACACACACACATATATATATATATACAGTATATATATATATATATATATGTAGATGTTTCGTGAAGTCTGAAGGTTTTAGGAGTCTACTGAACCCCGGCATCTCGGCCAAGGCCATGGAGGCCGCTGAGCGGCTTGCGGCATGTGGCACGCGCCGTGCCCTCAGTGCTTCGCGCCGCTCGGTTTATGGCTCTCCTTGGGTTGATCGGATCTGTGGCAACATTGCGGAGACAGAGCGGCCAGGGCCTAGGGATGTATACAATATAGTATATATCTGTGATGATTTGTTGGGCCTCAAAAGCCAACTCAGAGAGTGTGGATGTGGGTGTGGACTGACCTGTCGTGTGACATTGCCTGACATGATATGACTGTTTGGGGCTTTGGAAGCATCGGGCCGAACGAAGAGGCATCGCTCGCGGCGTCGCGGGTGCTGCTGGCTTCACGTTTGCATGTCGTTTCGTGGGTGTTCGAGCCGGTCGACGGCTCAAGCATGAGGGCTGCAAGAGACCTCCGGACATCGCGTAGCGGTCTCACTTCTGAGGGTCAGGCCTTAAGGTCTGCGGAGGTGGGCATTCGGGTGAGAAGAGGTCCTGATTGGGACTGGGATGACCAGGATGGAGGAGGTCCAGGCACCACGGTGCCAGGTGCTGACGAAGATGGCTGGGTCAGTGTGAGGTGGGATGCCGGCAGCGAATTCAAGTATCGAGTTGGTGCGGGCGGGAACTATGACCTCATCATTGATGGAGCCTCCTCTCCAGCATCACCGGCTGCAGCTCGAATCTTGAGGTGTGCGGAGGCAGATGTTCGAGTGAGGAGAGGAAGGGATTGGAAGTGGGGTGACCAGGATGCGGGAGGGCTTGGCGTGACCCTGGGCATGGATGGCGTCGGGCCTGGTTGGGTTACAGTGAGGTGGGATCAAAGCGGTGCCAGAGGAGCGTATCGTGTGGGGGCCTTTGGCAAGTTCGATCTCTTCGTCGTTGAAGCCGATGGAGCTGCTGCCCAACAGGAGGTTCAAGGCGCCGGCGGAGTATCACCACAAGTAAGCTCTGACGCTGACCAGGAGTTGATGATTGAAATCTCAGCCGCCACTGCCGCAGCCTACTCCCGTGCGAGCAGCGCGGCGGTGTCGGCGGCCAGTTCACACATGTCGGCGCCGTCCGAGCCTCTTCAGCCAGTTCCACATCCAGATGGTGGGCACGATGAGCAGTGGTTGGACGTGGCGGAAGCCAACAGCATGCAGTGCCCCATTTGTATGTGTGTCGCGCGGGATGCTTTAGCACACGACTGTGGAAACCTCTTCTGCGATCTATGCTGGACTCGATGGATTGCCGAGAACCCCAGTTGCCCCGTATGCCGCGAGGATGGGCAAGGCATTGTGAGGGCGCCCCGTGATCAACGCAAGATCCTGAATCTTATGATCAGGCGGGTCAGGATGCTTGTCCCATCCTGTCCCCTTTCCAGTAGACACGTCGCATCATATCACCCTTTTCGACCCGTCACGTGAAAGCATCCACGTCATCCACCAAGTTACTGTAAGTCTGGAGCGGTTTCGAGGGGGAAAAAGGCCCAGGCAAGTGCCGAGGTATTATATAGTAATAGACGGATATATACACACACACACATATATATATATATATACACACTATATCTAGTATATCTATACGTATATGTTAGTATCGGGTTTAGGGGATCAATGCAGTGTAGCTTTCACAAGGCCGATCCCTCGCAGCCAGGTGCCCGCTGGGCTGCGATGAGACCTTTCGCCTGGGCGACAAGGAGACGCATGTGGCTCGCTGCCCCAAGCGCCCGGTGCGATGCAGCCAGTGTGGCGGGGAGTTCCTGGCAGAGATCATCGCCGTTCACCAGCAGGACCGGCCAAGCAAGGCCTCCAGGTGGTCGGGTGATATGAAAGAGAGGGGGCGCCGACCCATGCCGCAAGAGGTGAGAACTAGATAGAACATGATTCGATCTATATAGTGTTTCTCTTAAGTTTTAAGTGCATATCATTAGCTTTGTTTTCCTTCTGGTGAGGATAGCTCGGAGAATCACCTTTTCACGAAAGCTAGCGAAGCTAGCTGGAGTTACTCTTGCGATAGCAAGGTTTCTTTCGACCGGGTGCAAATCCTAACCCCTGATTTTTCAGGTCGAAGACCCCCCCCC